AATGAAATAAGAAGAGGCGCCGTGAAATCTGGGGAAATATCATGGCCCACGCCATGATATCCACCCCCCCCTAATCACCACCGCCCTCTCTGCCGCTCCCGATGAAAGAAATCATGGTCCATGGTCTCAGAATCAACCGGAAAAATGTTTTAATTATATATATATATATATATTAAACCCAAAAAAACAAAAACAAAAACAACAAAAAAAAAAAAAAACAAAAAAAAAAAACAACAAAAAAAAAAAAAAAAAAAAAAAAACGAGGGGGAAAAAAAACTCGGGACCCGTTTCTCTCGGGACCCGAGGGGCAGCGATGGGGAAGGACTGGCACAGGGGGGTGGCACAGGGGGGGGGAAAGCAGCGGCCGGGAATGGGCGACACACTGCCGATGGGTCGGCGGTAGGCCCCCCGAGGGCGAGTCCGCGAGTTCCCCGGCAGCTCGGGGCAGGCGGGCCCCAATCGGCGGCGAGTGGGCGACTTGGGGTCGATGCCCACTCGCCCCATCGCCCCCCATCGCTGCCCCCGAGGGGCAGCGATGGGGCAGCCTTCGCTGCCCCTCGGGGGGCAGCGATGGGGCCCCATCGCCCCCATCGCTGCCCCCGAGGGGTCGATGCCCACTCGCCCCATCGCTGCCCCCGAGGGGCAGCGATGGGGCGATGGGGGGCGATGGGGCAGCCATGTGCCCCATCGCCCCCCATCGCTGCCCCCGAGGACACCCTTCCATGGTGCCGAGGGGAGGACGAGCGAACGAAGGCAAGGAGCGGGGAGACGTAAGACTCGGGTACGGGGGACTCGGGTTGGCCTTATGTCGGGCGTGTCCCCCTACAGGGGGATATTCGACGAAAAAATAAAAATACCCCCAAAATATTCCAAAAAGGTCAAAAATACTAAGAGAATACCCCTGACTATGTTTGGAATCTTTTTATATTATGTTTGGGATATTTTCTATTTTTCGTCGAAAATCCCCCTGTAGGGGGACAGGCCCGGCATAAGGTTGGCCTGACGGGGGCCATCATAAAGATGACGAGACCCAATCTGAAATCTGACGCGGGCTCCCGCTGCAGACATCCCACGAAAACAGGACCGTCAAATCCAGAACGCGCTCGTCAAAAAAAAGTCGGCAAACCCGAGTTCCGGCTTACTCGAGTCTGACGTGTCCCCGAAACGAGGATCGGGTCGGGCGAAAGGGGGGGATAGCAAAGGGGGGGGTTGAGAATCAGCTCACGTAGCTGATTTTCCCGGCGCCTCCCGGCGCCGGGAGGCGGCTATGTATCGAGGAATGGGCCCCTCGGTGGGGCCGAAACCAGCTGCATGCAGCAAATTTCGTACCCCCCCCTTTCCCAATCCCCCCCTTTCGCCCGACCTGAGAAACGAGGAGGCTGGTGGCCCAGCCTGTCCAGCAGGAACTGCACACGGGCCTCGTTCTCGCCGACCTGCTTGGTCGACTGCGCCAGCCGCTCGGCCTCGCCAAGCAGGTCGGCACGGCCCCGATCCTTCCGCCTCCTCCGCTCGCCTCCCCTGCCCCCCCTCTGCCCTCTTGGACAGGCGCGTTCCACTACTCGCAGATCAACTGCTCGCAGAATTGCCTGGATCCGCCGCGGAGGATGTACGATCTATCACGTAGAGGAAGACCTGTCCAGCTCGGACGTCTGCGAGTAGGCACTTCGCGAGCAGTGGAACGCGCTCGGCGACCTCTCCCCGCAGAAGACGAGGGCAGGGACAGCAAGAAGCTGCTCGGCCAGCGGCGAGGAGGAGCGCACCGCCACGTGTAAGTCGGGCCTGTCCCCCTACAGTTGGATTTTCGACGAAAAACAAAAAATAACACCAAAATACACCCAAAAGGTCCAAAAATACTCCATAAATAGTCCCCAGACTATTTTTGGCGTATTTTTTTGCTTATTTCTGGGGTACTTTTTATTTTTCGTCGAAACTCCCCCTGTAGGAGGACAGGCCCGACTTAACGCCACGTGCTCGGGCAGCCGGCGGGCCGCGCCGGGGGCAGGCGGCGGGCGGCCGCGGAGGGAGGCGGGCGGGGGCCCGCAGGCCTCGAGCAGCTCGGCCCGGGAGAGCGCCACGGCACTGGGCAGGGGACGCGTCCTCCTCCTCCTCCTCCTCCTCCTCCTCCTCCTCCTCCTCCTCCTCCTCCTCCTCCTCCTCCTCCTCCTCCTCCTCCTCCTCCTCCTCCTCCTCCTCCTCCTCCTCCTCCTCCTCCTCCTCCTCCTCCTCCTCCTCCTCCTCCTCCTCCTCCGGCACTGGGCAGTGGACGCGTCGGGCGCCGTCGGGCGCGCCCGGCGAGCGCTCGGCAGTGCTTCGGGCGCGCCCGGGCGCTCTGGGGGGCGAGCTGGCCTGGCCCCGGCTCTGCCCCGTCTCCTCCCTCGACGAGCGCGTTCCACGGCTCGCAAAGGAGCTGCTCGCAGCTGGCCTGGATCCCCCGCGGGGGATCTGCGATGAATTGCATCGAAGCAGACATGTTTTTTTGACTATTGCGAGTACTCCAGATCCTTCAATAAGCACCCCCCCCGTGCCAACCTGTCCGACGCCCCCCTGCCCGCACCCCCACGCGCCCCAAACCCACCCCCTCTCGCTCCCCAACCTCCCCACGCTCCCCGAAGGACAGCGGCTTCCCACCCCCCCACGCGACCCACCCCCCCGCGCGATGATGAGGAGGAGGAGATGAGGAGGAGGAGGAGGAGGAGGAGGAGGAGGAGGAGGAGGAGGAGGAGGAGGAGGAAGCGCTTTTTGCGAGTAGTGGGACGTGCTTGCCTCCTCCCCGTCGCCTGCTGCCGACCCTTGGGCGCACGCCAGCACGGGCGAGGGGCCCGCGTGGACTCTGGCGCGCGGAGGCGCCGGGCGCCCACGCGCCGGAGAGCGCTCTGCGCTCGAAGCGTGGCGCCGCGGTGCCGCCCGGTCTGGCGGCGGGGCGCGCGGATCTGGCATGGGGGTGGGGCCCATCGCTACTCCGCGCAGAGTCGAGCCCGAGAGCAAGGCGGAGGAGGAGGCGGAGGAGGCGGAGGAGGGGGAGGAGGAGGCGGAGGAGCAGGAGGAGGCGGAGGAGCAGGAGGAGGCGGAGGAGGAGGAGGAGGAGCAGGAGGCGGAGGAGGAGGAGGAGGAAGAGGAGGACCATCGCTACTCCGCGCGCAGCAAGTCCATGTTTCGGAGACCAGCCCAGAGACCCGGCGTCGTCTTTTCCGCTTTCGTGACGTTGAGCTGCAGGCCGGAGCGGTTCCTCGTCACGGTCTCGCCCGCGGGGGCGCCCTGGACGACGGCGTCGCCGATTGCAGCGGCGGCCTGCTGCAACTGGCAGCTGAGCCCCCTCTGCTCCGCCACCTGCTCGTCCGAAACGGCATCCCCCTCCTGTTGACTACCTACCAGGCCACCCCAAACCCAACCCGAAGACCCGAATTCGACCCAAAATTTCGGGTTGGGGGGGGTACGGGTGCCCTGTGGTCTTCCAATGTTCCCCGACACCCCTCCCCACGGGAAACGGAAGGCACAATTGAGGCCTTCGGGTTGGGTTGGGGTCGTTTGGTCAGTGGTGACCATCGCTGCTCCGCGCGCAGCTTAAGCTAGGGCTCCCAACTTCGCGCTTCGCGCTCCGCGAAGCGCGAAGCGCGAATAACTTCGCGCTCTCGCGCCGCCCCCCCAAAGGGAGAAAAGGAGGACGAGGAGGAGGGGGAGAAGGAACGAGGACCGCGAAGCGCGAAGCGCGAATAACTTCGCGCCCTCGAGGAAGCCCTTGCTTAAGCCCATGCTTCGAAGACGGGCCCAGAGATCCGACGCCGTGATGTTTGTCCGTACGCGGCCCCCGGAAGTCTCGACCCATTCCCCAGGACCGGCTTTTCATCCCGAGTCGCTTTTTGACGGTCCCGAGGCCCGGCAAGGGCCCCCTATAGGGGCCGAAACTGGCGAAAAAGCGCCGTCGTGGTTTTTTTTCAATGCGTTGGATCTCTGGTAGCCGAGGCACCGAAACTCGAGATCGGCTCGGATGCGGTCCCCGTGCCCCTGCCGGGGCCCAAGCGCACCTGCTCTCCGAGCTGCGTCCAGCCGTGGCGACCTCGAGGGGGCCCCGCGAAGGCCAACTGCAGGTGTCTCGAACAGCCCTCCGCGGAACATTCCGAGTGGCGGATCGACTACTCCAGATTTCGTAATGAAGGGAGGGGGGTCTCATTTCGGGGGGGGGTCTCTTCCAGGCCATCGTGGAGGGTCTTGGAGGGTCCAGACCCCCTCCCTTTTATCACGAAATCTGGAGTACGGAGTCGATCTACCCCAAAATTGATGTTCTCGACGTGTCCCTGAAAAACGCGCAGGATGTTCGTAGATCTACATTTGTCTCCTACGCATTCTTCGTGGACCCGGTGGAGGAAATCGCATGTTTGGGGGTGGATCAATTCTGTAGCCGATCCCCTGCTCAAACATTTGCGTTTCCTCGAGGGAATCACTTTTTGGGGTAGGTAAATTCTGCAATCCATCCCCTGCTCAAACAGTTGCGCTTCCCTCGGGCGGGTGGTAATGGGGTGCGACCTGAAAGGGGGCTGAAGAAAAGGGACCCAAAGGGGCCCTGTGGGGCTCCACTTGGAGCCGGCTGGGGCCCAAAAGAGGCCCTCAAGGGGAAGGGTCCCATTTAGGGGCCTTCTCTCCACCCCCCCACCGAGGTCGCCCCCATTGCCACCGGCCCGACTCCTCGTGCCCCCTCTCCCCTCCGAGCCTCCCCGTCTCCGTGCCCCCGCTTCCCCGTCTCAGCTGCCGGCAGGGTTCCGTAGCCATGTTGGCTCAAGCTCGCAGAACTTTCTTAATTACGCGACTGCCTGGGTCAGCCTGCCAAGGCGTCTCAGGCCTCCTGTGAGCTCCTGGAGGAGCGCGACATCCCGTGTGCTCAGGCCTGCCATGGGCTCGAGGAATGATAAAGCGTGTCGCCGGTTCTGCAAAAGCTGCACCAGTGACCGCGCGGGGAAGCCTTGGTGGAGTATGGCGCACGCGAAGCAGTGTGCACTGTGCGGGCTGACGAAGGGCGTGGTCTTCAAGTGCAGTGCAACTGCGCAAGGAGCCCCTTCGGTCAGTGTCAAGCCCAAGGCGCCATGGAAAGAGAGGGCAGAGCAGGCCGCCAAGGCGGGGATCAAAGAACTCGAGGACAAAGTCAAGGAGTTGCAGAATGAGAAGCATCGTGGATGTCCGCAGTCGAGTGCGGATGCCATGCGCACGGATGAACCTCGTGGAAAGGAGGAGCTGCAGCTGCGCAAGAGGCTCAAGGACGTGGACGAGCAACTGGCCTTTTCTCTCAATTCAGTGGAGAGGCAGTGGAGAGTCCAAGGCGGGCGCGCACGCTGAGATGCTCCGCGCCGAGAAAGAAGAGAATTCACGGCAAGCTCCAGGCGTCCAAGCCCATGCGCGCGGAGTTGCAGACCGTGTCGAGGCGGCTTACCGCAGCGGAGAAGCGCGCTGAGGTCTCTCGGGAGCTTGTGGCCGCAAGGAGGGAGCAGCTTGCGGAGATGGAAACGAGCCTTGATGAGGCCATTGCGTCCCTCACCGAGCAGGAGTCCGAGGTGGCGGCGCTCAGTGCGCAGGTACAGCAACTGGCCAAGGAAGCCCCGCAACCCCCAGACAATGCGAAGATGTCGGAGTCGATCCCGAGCCTGCAGGTGGGCGTGGAGGTGCTGGGCAAGCTCCTGAGGCAGCAGGGCCTGGGCGAGCAGGCCAACAGCCTGGCGGCTTCGCTGGCCAAGGGCATGGCCGAGCTGCTGGTTCCAAAGGCGGAGGCCGCGGCCGCGTCGGGCTCTGCGCCAGCAGCTGCAGGCGGGCTCGAATCAGGCATCGCGCCTAAGCAGGAGGCCCCGACCACGGTCAGCATGCAGACCATCATCGAAGGGGTCACGGAGGAGGAGCTGCGGGCTGCGCTGGAGGCCATGTGGCCTTCGGACCTGGCAACAGGCCTGCTGACGGATCTGCCAGGCTTGCGTGCTGCTGCTGGTAAGCTGACGTCTTACCCACTGTTCAAAAAATCCCGACAGCGACTCGCAATCGTGCAGGCTCCGTATTAAAAGGATGGCACTTCAGTATGACAACTTGTCTACTCCCATGGCTGAGGAGGTGCATTCCCTCGGGCGGGCGCGGGGCTTGCTTGGGCCTACGGCCAAATAAACCTCCAAGATCGACCCCTGTCACCCGAAGAGGCTCCCAAGAAGGCTCCAAGACGGCTTCCGGACGATCCACGAAGGCTCCAGAAACAATAACAACGGCCCAGGAAAGCCGCAGGACGTTCCCAAGAGGGCTCCAAAACGGGGCAAGAGGGCCCCCAAAGGCTGTCCAGACGGCCCACGCGGGGGACGATTCGGTCCAAACCGCACACGATTGCCTCCAGACAGCCTCATGGGCGTCCAAAACGCTTGCATACGCGACCACGAGGCGCTCCAAGCAGGCCTCCAGAAGCAAAAACCGTCCCATTCCCAAGGGAAAACGTACATGTTTAGCATGTTCGCTTTTGGGGCTTCCACGAGGCCAACAACGGCCCAGTAAACCTCCAAGATCGACTTCTGGCACCCCACGAGGCTCTCCAAAAAGCTCCACGACGGCCTCCGGGCGCCCCACGAAGGCCCCAGAAGTCATAGCAACGAACCAGGGGAACGGCAGGACGGTCCTAAGAGGGCTCCAAAACGTGTCCAGAGGGGCCTCACAGGCTGTCCAGACAGGCCAGGCGGGGGACGATTGCTGCCGCCCCAAGGGGTCGGCGGTGTGGCGTAAGCCAACGAATCGTCAATGAGAAGGCGAAAACCCACCCCCACACCCAGTCCCGAGTCCATCCCCGAACCCGCGATTCAAGGCGTCGGGACTGGGGGTGGGGGTGGGTCTTCGGGGTCCAGGAATGGAGAAAACCCACCCCCACCCCCAGTCCCGGCCCCTTGAATCGCCGGCTCGGGGATGGGCGTCGGGACTGGGGGTGGGGGTGGGTTTTCGCCTTCTGAGTCAAACAACGGGGAGGCCGAACACATCCACAAACCGCTCGGACCCCAGCCCGGGAAGCCTCCTCCTCCTCCTCCTCCTCCTCCTCCTCCTCCTCCTCTCCTCCTCCTCCTCCCTCCTCCTCCTCCTCCTCCTCCTCCTCCTCCTCCTCCTCCTCCTCCTCCTCCTCCTCCTCCTCCTCCTCCTCCTCCTCCTCCTCCTCCTCCTCCTCAATCGTCAAACAACGGGGAGGCCGAAAACATCCACAGACCGCTCGGACCCCAGCCCCGGGAAGCCTCGAACCCTGGGAGGTGGTCGGCGGGCGGTCCCCGGGGACCGCCCCGCGCGGGGGCCCTCCTGCCCCTCGGGCGACAAGGACGACAAGGAGGAGGAGGAGGAGGAGGAGGAGGAGGAGGAGGAGGAGGAGGAGGAGGAGGACGAGGAGGAGGAGGAGGAGGAGGAGGAGGGGGCGCGGGCCTGCTGCACGCCCTCCTTCGCCTGCTGGTCCGCCGCGGCCCGCAGCCGCACGTTGTCAGAGGACAGCTGCCAGACGCGGCGCCCGAGTTCCTGGCGGCGGGCGGCCCCCGCGCAGCCATGGGGGGGCAAAGGCCTCGGGGACGTGCTGTCGCAGTTCGGGGCCCGAGCGGGCTGCTAGCACGGGAGGACGAGGAGGAAGAAGAGGAGGGGGAGGAAGAGGAGGAGGAGGATGAAGAGGAGGAGGAGGAGGAGGAGGAGAGGCAGGAGGCAGGAGCAGGAGCAGGAGGCGTGGGGTGGGCGAGGGAGGGAGGGGGAGGGAGGAGGGAGGAGGGAGGAAGGAGGACGGAGGAGGGAGGAGGGGGAAGAAAAGGAGGAGGAGGAGGAGGAGAAGGAGGAGGAGGAAGAGAAGGAGGAGGAGGAGAAAGGAGGAGGGAGGAGGAGGAGGGAGGAGGAGGGAGGAGGAGGAGGAGGAGGAGGGTCCGTGGCCATTTTGGCTCAAGTACGAAACCGTGGCCCTGCGGCTTCGTACTTGCCTGCTGCCGTGGGGCTGGCTCGAAGCGAGCTGCCCCACAGCAGGCTTTCGTACTCTTTTTTGTTTTTTCTCTCTCTCTCTCTCTCTCTCCTTCACGATCTCCACGGCGAGCCCTCGCGCGGCCGTGGACGCTCTTTCCTTCGCAACGGGTTGCGTGCTGCTTCGATGGGTGGTTTTCTCGCTCAGGGCCAGCTGGTCCGATGCGAAACATGTGGCTGTGGCAGAAACTTGGCGCGGTGGAAGTGGCGCAAGCATTGCCGCGGCCCGCTCGACAAGACGGAGCAGCCACCGAGGCAGCCAAGCCGAGGGCAGAGGGCTCTGGCACGCTTCCCTGGTGTTCATTATGGCGGGCAGCGCGGCGTGTACCCGTGGCGGGGACAGGTCGCCAGCGAGACGTCCTCTGTCGCGCGACCGACGCCCAACTGGCAAGCCCCCGCCAAGGGTCTCCTTCTCGCTAGAGCCCGAGGTCGTCATCGGCGACGGCGACAAGGAGGAGCAGCGGCTGGGCCAACTCGTGTCCCTGCTCACAGAGTCTGGTGACACGGCTGCGGCGACTGTCTGCCAGAAGAAGCTTGACGAATATCGCAGGAGCAAGGTCGACAGCGACGTGTCCCTCGAGCTGACCAAGGCAAGGCTGGACCGCGCGGAGTCAGCACTTCGGCGCAGCATCGACAGGCGCGAGCAGCTCGAGCTGCAGGTCGAGGCGGCCCAGCAGGAGGTTGAGCATCTCAGCCAGGAACTGGACATTGGCCGCGGCTGCAACCAGGCCGCTGTCAAGCGGCCCCACGCCATCCTCATCGCCGACGCGGGCGGCGACGCAGCCCAGACACAGCCACCTGACTCAGCCAAGATCAACCTGTCGTGCTCTTGAACGGGCACCCTTTGGAACTGGGCGACGGCAACACGTTCGGCCTCGAAGACCCCTGCGACGCCGTGGCCCCGGAGGACCGCGAGGAGGCCATGCGCAGGAAGAAACAGCTGCAGGATGGAGTTCGGTTGGCGGCGAAGGGGCGCAAATCCAACTCAGGCAGCAGCGACGGAGCACCAGGGGGCGGTGCAAGCCCCGCGGCGACGGCAGCCCCTGAGGCGCCAGCGGGCGCCAAGGCCGAGCCGCAGCCAGCGGGAACAGGCGAGCCCAAATCGCCCGCTGCGGCCGCCGCCCCCGCGGCGGAGCCGGCGCCCGCAGCTCAGCCGCGCAAGGGCGGGCCCCGCAGTCAGGGCCGCCGGGGACAAGCTGGAGCAGGCCGCCGCCAAGGGAGCGGGCAAGGGCACGTCGAGCCTTTGATGACATCGGCCGCGGCATCCACACCTACTGGAGTCATCCGCTTTTGACTGTCACTCCGACGAGTGCGGGGCAAGATCACGCCTATTACTTCGCCAGCGGATCACGCGCAGCGGCATGGCCAGAAGGGCCCGGGCAGGGGGCTGCGGTTGCGCACCACGTCGGCGGCAATGATGGAGATTCGCTCTGGGGGGCCCCTGATAGAGCCCATGGCGACTACAACCACTATCCGTACAGAGCCACTACCGCATTGCTTGCCGCGACGACAGAGCCCACGGCAGGGGGCGCGCATTCCCCTAGGGGGGCTCGGCGACTGCACGCTGCAGGGCATCTACGAACTCAGCCACCTTGTCGACGCCAGCGGCTCCGATGACGATGGCTGGGCCATGACCGGCCTGTCGGGTGAGGACAACACCGCGCAGGGCAACTGCGGGATCGCGGATGGCGTCCGCGAGTTTGGCGACGCGCCGCAGGACGACTCCCGCAACGGCGAGGATTACCTCGTCGACATCCAGGTCACGCCAGGCGTTTGAAACGCAAGGCGCCACAGCACACAACGCGAATGCCTGGCCAGGATACCGCCCCCTGACCAGCCTGCCGCGCCCATACGGCGCACACGTGCCAGCCCTGCTCCTGCACTGGAGATAATGGTCTCGCGGTGGGCCACGCGTTGGATGCACGATCCCAACGAGGGCCAGACGGAATAGGATCGGCTCGAGATCCTCGACTGGTGCATCAGCTACGCACGCTTCGAATAGTTCACAGGTGCGCGAGGCGAGTCGGCGAACCAGCTAGCAGCGGAGATGCGCACCAGGGCTTGGCGTCGATCTGAGAGGCGGCGAGGGCGCTACCTCATCTGGTTGACAGCTCCGAGACGAGCCCCGCTCCGAGCTGCCCTCGACCGTCACAGCGCTGACTCACAACGACTACGCGACTGGATTGCCGGCCCCGCGCGCTCAGGAGAAGCGACACCAGTCGGACCACCAGGGCGCCAGCGAGGTAGCACTGCCGACATCCATTGGGGCCAGGTCTTCGCTGATAACCTGCTGGACTCCGACGACAGCGACATCGAGGACTACAGCACCCTCATCTACGGGAACCAGGACAAGGGATATTGGCGCTGCGCGGCGACGACAGCTTCGGCATCACTTACCGCGACGACAGGGCCCGCGGCCAGGGACGCGCGTTCCCCTGGGGGGCTCGGCGATGTCGTCGCCAGCGGCTCCGACGACGATGGCTGGATCATGGCCGGCCTCTCGGATGAGGACAACACCGCGCGGGGAAACTGCGGGATCGTGGATGGCGCCCACGAGTTTGGCGACGCGCTGTAGGACGATTGCCGCGACGGCGAAGATTACCTCCAGGGCGCGCCAGGCGTCAGAACGCAAAGCGCCGCAGCACACAATGCAACCGTGACAGAACGCTAAATCCACGGGATGACCCCCCTGATTCGCCGTCGCCCCGAGCTGTAGGGAAAGGAGGCCTAGGCGCAACACAGCGGCAGGAGCACGGCCCCACGGGGCCTGCGGCGGGCAGCCCCTCCCACGCCGATGCTGGCTGGGAGGTGGCCCCCCTGGCTCAAGGTCGCTGATTCGTCGGATCCCCCCGCGCGCTCCACGAGCGCCAGAGGGGCCCCCTCGCCCGAGCCCACGAGCAGACAAATGACGCGAGAGTCCAGCGCCATCGGCTTCGAGCTCCATTGCGAGGCTGGGCAGGGACTTGGCTGCGCCCCGAGCCAGCGGCCCACGACGAGATCGAAGCCTGCCTCGAGTGGAGGAGGCACAGCGCGCCGCGCGTGCTTCGCGCGCTGCGCGACGCGGCCTTCGCGCCGATGGCGCGCCGCGTTGCTGGCCTCAACGCCTGCGACGCAGTCGAAGCGCGCGATCCTGGCGCGGGGCTTCTGCAGCACCACGCGGGCTGACCAAGCCCGAGCGCGAGCCCGCTACCTGGCGCACTTCTCGAGGCTGAGACGCACCTGCAATCCTGGCGACTGCCGGGGGGAGGCGCACAGGCACGTGGACGCGCAGAGGGCCACCGCCAACTTCATGAACATCAACTCCCAGCCACGCCCGCGGACGCAGCAACAGGAGATGTCCGAGGCAGCTGCAGCAGGACTTGGCGCGGCCGATGTCACCGCGGCACCCTCCAGAGCTGGCGCCACGGCGGCGAGCGCGCCCCCCCCCCAGCGCGACGCAGGCGCCGCTAGGACCAGGCGGCACACCTCGGTCTGCTTCGGCGGGTACGTCTCTGACAGCACCGGCGACGACCAGTGCTGCACGGGCGCCCCAAGCGCCAGGCGGCTCCCTCCCCTGACCACACCGAGGCCAGGCGGCGCAGGCGGCTGAATGCTTGCTACTAACAAGCGTTTCGCCACCCTGAACCCCAACTCGCGGTCGTCGGCCCAGACGTTTTGGAGCGGCGGCTTCTGCAAGGGGAGACTGCGGCCCATGGTTGGGCCATCCAGGAGACCCGTCTGGAATGCTCGGCTACCCCACCGGCCCGCAAAGTGGGCTGGTCACCGCGGTGTCAAAGTAGCCTTCTATGCTGCCGCGCGCACGGGAGAGCGCTTCGGGCCACCAGCGCTGGCACCGTGGCTGGCGTCGTCTCGCACATTCGCAGCCAGCCCTCGTTGGAGTCGGACGTTGGCCTGCGCGAGGCGTCTTCGGTGAGAGCTTCGACCGTGGAAATCGACGCCATGATCCCGACTTTTTTTGAATTGGGTCTCGGTTTACTCCCACGTTGGGCTCGGGTGTTTCTGGGGCCAATTAGGAGCTTTTGCAAGACCTCGGGACGCACCTTCAAGGGCGCCAGCGCCCCTGGATACTCGCGGGCGACCTGAACATGGAGCCTGGCAACCAGGGGCTTCAGCGTTGGAGCCAGCTGCTCGGAGGTGCGATCGCCGCGCCTGATGCTCCTACTTCTGCTGGGGCAGGGGCGCCCAGGTGCTTGGATTTTTCATCATTTCACGAGGCCTGGCTTCGAGCGTCGCCGATGTCGGGCCGACGCGCGTTGCGCCGTGGGCCGCGCGCGCCGGCGCAGCGAACGGCGCGCGGCTTCTCCTCGCGCCCCCCCGCGCAGGCGCGCGCGACCTGGAAGCCGTTCCCCACGGCGATGCCGATCGGATGCAGACGCGGGCCCCGAGAGCACAGCTGGCCCTGAGAAGCATCTCAGATGCCCAGAGAGACGCCCCTGAAGCTGCCTGGGGGGGCGACGGGGACGCGCGGAGGATGGGCGCCGCCGCGTCTTCGACCTCGCTGAGGGCGAGGACACCCCGTT